GCCTCACTAACCACAGTTGACCTTTTCTCCCCAGTTTCCTTATTAAGTCTAAATAACTGTCTACTGTCACCAATCGCCTCTGCCTTTCCCATCTCTTTAGCCTTCACTGCCCACCACTGTTTGCAGTCGTTGCGTAGACTTTTTCTCAATCTACTTTTAAGTTGCGCCTGCTCTTCATTGTACTCAGAGCCAACAGGGATGCGATCACGTACATTCATTAGTTCGGAAGAAGCTGGTGATATCCACTGGCTCTTTTTAGCCACTATTTTGGAGTCGGCTACAGTCTTCAGTGCTGCTTTTACAGCAGACTGGAGACGGTGCCAAGCTTCTTCTCTTCCGATAACTGCCTAGCCAACTTCCCACTGAACACGGCTTTGAGGTTTTCGTTGTCCAGCAGCACTCGTAGTGGTTTTGTTGCCAAATTTTTCCTACATCCATTGAGACGCAGGCATATATGCGCTCGGATCAGCGCATGGTCGCTATCCAATCATGTACTTCAGAAGGAGCGGTAGTCTTCCACCGATCCTCTCCAGCGATGACTAATAGCAATGTGGTCTATCTGTTTCCATCGCTGAGTTGAGCTCGGTGGACGCCAGGTCAGACAGTGTCTTTTTTATGTCTGAAATTTGTGCTAGCTAAAAATAGGCGGTTATCTGAGGACAGTTGTAGTAAGCAATCACCGTTATCTGTACGTCCAATCGGGGTTCCGAAAGTGCCACCTAAGTGCTTTTCTGCCTCACTCAGTCTACCCACCTGTGCATTGAAGTCACCTGCAACAACTACCACGTCCAAACGTTTGGCTTTCGAGAGGAGGCTAGACACTTTACGTTAGAACTCGTCTTTCACTTCATCTGAACTGCAGTCAGTGGGTGCGTAATCAGAGATTACAAAAAGACAACGGCGAGTTTCACTATTCCTTTTAGTTTTCGCTGTGCCGTTCAGTCGGATAGCACAGTGGCGACTATCAACTGAGGTCCAGCCTAGTAGTGAGTTTCCTGCCCTAGTGCTTAATCCTATGCATACACCTGCAAGACCGCTAGAGCTAGCCATCGGATCTCCAGAAACTCGAACAGTAAATCTTGCGGATTCACCAGATTTGCCGGGAGAGGTCAGGTGAATAATCGCACTTGGGTCCTGTATGCGTGTCTCAAACACAGCGCACATCTATGGCCGAGTTGCTAGAGTATTTTTTGCCAGCGAAGCCTATTGACCAATTTGACGGAGGGTGTGGACATTGAAGGCTCCAGTATGTAATTTGGAGCGTGGTTTAAGGAAACCTAGGATGCTGTTCTGTGGACCCAGATCGTTGTCGAAGGCTGCAGAGGTAGGAGAAATTGAAGATGGTGTAGTATCACTAGTTGAGAGACGTGAAGGAAAATTAGAAGGTAATGATGGAAAGGTGGATAACAGTCTGAGGAAACGTGATTGCTGACTCAGTTATGAGGGCGGTTGACACTTCCCGGCTGCCCACACCGTGAAAGGCTGTTTCTTTCTAAGGTACCTGAAAGAGATTTATGTGACCGCAGAGCCCATCGGATATCTGCTTGAGGCCTGTCATACGCAACCTTTTGTGTGTATAGTTGTTTTAAACTTTTGTATTTTTGGGGCCGGATGGTCGAAAAGAAACGACAAATGAACCAACACCGCCGGCCCGGCAGAACGTGGAGTATGGTAGAGTGTGTCATTTTTGGGCCCGATCTTTTCTAACCCCCCTTCCACTGAGAAGGCAGCATCAGCATGCACTGCTGGTCATTCAAGGGAAATACCTTACTGCTGCCACACCCCATCCAGCTAGCAACAGTACGACTTCACCCTCAGACCCCCATCATAGTGTAGCAATTTACACCACAACGGTAACTGCTTTTCGTCTAACCACAGTTCGACAGACCTTTCTGGTATGGTAGGACCTCGACGGAACAATTGTTTCACCAGCATAGCTCGTTGGGTCATTGTGATTATGCAAGCTCGACCACCACGTCAAGGTAGCAGCTATCGATCAGAGTAGAAAAGGCTGTATGTAGTGGTACACCACGTCAGTAACATAGAAGTCAGGCCTAGAGTTTCGGACAGAAGAGAAAAGTCAGTTGTTGAGGTTGTAAACTTTCATCAACTCAGGTGATTGAGTCATGTGTTATCCCTACCTAGTCACTATCTTCCTTGTCGCACAATGTTAGCTGAAGTATGTTTAGGTTGGGAAAAGATTAGGGGTGGCTGAACTAAAAAATGACATCAGTTCACGAAGCTTCTGGCTATTGGTCTCAGCTGTAGAAGGGGATGTAAATCTCCTGGTTGGGGTCCGGGTTACAACAGGAACCCGTGATTGGTGACTAGAGGATGTGGGTCAGAATCGGTTTCAGTGGCGTGGGCGTATCCGCATATTATCTTCATACTAGTCGACATAATGAATTTTAGCTTTACTTTTTTCCGCCTTGTCCTTCTTTCATGACTTTCTACCACTTTTGACTGCTTTCTTCCTTGACTTTTATCTTTCTTCTCAGTGCATTTTTAGTTGATGTGCTGATGTGTTGCAACTTGAACTGTAATGTAAGGTTGTACGTTGGTGTTATCTATCTTATTTTTCTCTGTGATGGTCTAGCATACCATTGTCTTCGTTCTAGTCTTCCTCATAAACTCGAATGACTGCTGAGTATTACCTAATTTTGATAGCCCATTCTTCTCTTTTGGCACTTGCTACTGCACATGATCATTACGAAAACTTAGTCCATTTTAGTTCAGGTTACTTTCACTGTTAACAATGTTCTTGGCCATCTGGAATAGGTTTTCTGCATCAGTCATTTCGGATGAGTTTGTGGAATTCCACAAGCTTTTGCTAACATTTAGATTTAAGTTACCAACTATCTTACCTGATGTTTCTGCAGTACACTAAACAATAATCCATCTGGATAAAAGTTGATGTCATGTTCATAAAAATGCTAACTCTTCTATTTATGAATGCTTGATTTGGTGAGTGCATTTTCTCATTAGCCCTCACAATATGTGCTACACTGCTTACTGCGCAAAAGTAAACTTAGTTGCTTAATTTTGCTTTTTCCACGCAGATGCTGTACTTCTGATTAATTAAATACGCTCACCAAGATGTTTGCATGCATCTTACTAAAGTGTTACCATGGTCCAAGTAAGCATCCCAAAGACAGCTTATAGCTATTTAAACTATGTTCACCATTGGGCTGGTTTTGTCTAGCTGTGGTTCCATTGGTTTAGGCATCCACGTAGTATAATAAACCCTCATACAATAGGTATCACTCATTGCCTACTGCAAGAATGTGCCCTAAGTTGTTGAGTGCATTTCGATTTTTTTTCGACTTACCTGATTTTTGTGGACCTCCTAGTGAAATAATGTCTCTGTGTGTCTGAAATTAGTGTTGACCAGGACAAAATATAGGAGGTAGTCATCGTTGTCAGTTTGCAGGCATGGAATACAGTAGATATCCCCAAAATGCTTTCAGACAGACAAAATCAACGTAAAGCCTCCCAGATAATTACATCAGTTCAAGTTACCACACTTCACAGTAGCTTACAGAGAACAAGTGAATAGGAAAAGAGTGATATTAAAAAAGACCAAGATGCACTGGAGGAGAACATTTTGAAAATAAAGGTTGGTGAAAACATACGAACTTTAGGCGATGTCTAAGAGTGAATACATCTGCATCATTGTGACCGGTTTTCAGCCATCGCCAAGAGTCCTCAACCACTGACTCCTGTCGTCTCAGTGACCCCAACCAGGTACCCTACACCTCCTTATGTGGTTCAGATTAGGAGTTACAGACTCCGTGAACTAGTGCCACGTCTTCGTCTGGCCACCCTAGACCTTCTTCCAGCAGAAAGGTTCGAAAAAGAGTTAAACATTATCGAAATAGATGTTGAAGAGAACGAATACTCTGAGAAACTTATTATTGAGTTTGAAAAGAAATTGCAAAAAACTAAACACAGCTATTGAAAAAAAAAGGTTTTGATTCGTCTTGTATCCAAAGAGAATGTAATATCCAACGAAATAGATACAAGGATAAAAAAAATTTGTTAAAAACGTTTTTGTATAGCCAAATTTGTATCATTCAGTACATAACACCACACGCTAACTAAAATATTTTAGAGTGATTATGTATCATGCAAGTATCACCCTCGTACAGTGTTTATAAATTTCGGTACACGTTCGGTAAAAATCACTTCAGAAGTACTCCACAAAGATTTTCCACTCAGTTTTCTCAAGAAATTTCCAAAAATGTATGCTTTAAGAGAAGCAAGGTTCTGACTAGTGCAGTTACTATATATCTTAATAAAATAGGATGTCTGGTCTTATTTCTTAAGCCTTTAAAATAGTAAACATGGAGTAAGTGCCAAAAGTAATTCGCTTCATTGAAGCTATTGCGGCAAAGTGATCCCCACTCAACCTGCATATAGAAACAGGTGTGGATAAGTTTTTAGTCCCATGGTAACAGTATTTTAATCTTATTTTCCTTCATTTGAAATTGCTTTCATTTCACTCATCTACTGATTTCAGTCTTATAAACCCAAATTTTTCTCAGTTGTTTGGTAACCTCGTAGGTACCACTAGTTTCTCCTTTTCTTTTTATTCCTTTTAGGCAGTTTGTATCTAATGAGAAACCATGTGATAAAATGTCGTTTTATTATGTTAATTTCCTCTTCTTTGCTTTGTTAAAACTTATCAAGAGAACCAAATGTATACGGAAGAAAGTAATAGTTATAGAAAGTAGAAAGTAATAGTTAGTCACCACAAGATAAAAAGAATTAAGGTTGGAAAAAAGAAAATGGAAACTTGGCTGCCTGGTTTGTATATGACGTTTTTGTATAAAAAATATCCGAAAGCAATTAAATAAATTGATTGTTAGCAGTTGCAATTAAATATAAACTTCATAACCCTTGTCTGTATATATACCTATTCATTTTTCTCTATTTTGTTTGTAAATGTTTTAATTTTACTTTATTTTTACAAAAACGTTTTTGATTTAATTTACTTTTAGTCATTAAAATGAACAAATCAAAGAATAACAGAACGAAACAGAAAGCTTCCGCAGATAATGTGATGAAAAATACATCTGTTTTTGGGCAGATAGATAAAGAACTGTCTGCAGTGCTTATTGCGGATCTTTTGTCTGATCGTTTTGAACCTTTGAGTGAACATATTCCCCCGTGTTTACTTCCACTAAGTAATGTACCCGTATTATACATGAATTTATCCACTCTTGCATCGGATGGCTTCAAAAATATCCTAATATATACTATTAAAAGTTACAGAAAAATTCAGGCATTCATAAATCAGGTCAAATTAAACAACTGGTTTCCCGGATTGAAGATTTTTGTAAGAAATGTTGAAAAATGTCATAATTTAGGTGATATAATGCGTGATCTTGAGTCAAACGAATTTCTTAATGGAGTATCAGATTTCCTACTTGCTCCTGCTGATCTGATCTGCGGGGTTTCATTATCGAAATTTGTACAAAAACACAAAGAACAACGCGAACAAGAACCTAATTTAATACTCACTCTTTTGTTACCTCCTTTGACTGAGGTGATAAGTCCAATGCAGTCATCTGAGTTCAAAGTTAACGTGATATTTTCTCGAACCAATAACAATCGTTTGATCAGCCTTTCTCGTGAATCTCAAGGTGACTTTTCTCCAATTCTGATTGGTGACGTCATGAAATCTGGAGAAGTCATCGAATCATCCCAGTTGATGGATGTTCAGCTGGCTATATGTAGCAACCATATACCACCATTATTTCAAGTAAGTTAGCATCATGCTTTTCTCAGTTTTTTATTGTCTCGAAGTTCAAGTTTATAATATTCTTTAGAAGTAAGCGCTGAGTTATGAGTTTAATTTACGCTTATGGGTTTTTCTTTATTGTATATGAATTACTGCGGTGATTTGTCATTTTCGTTTAGTATTGTGTGCATTCCTTATTATTGTGAAATGAGGTTCCTGTATAAATAAATTGATAAGGTTGTATGAACTGGTTGTGTTGTATTCTTTCATGGGAATCGAGTGTTATTTCATCTTCATTTTGTGCTTACATACTATGAATTGTGTGCTTTGCGAACTTGGAAAAATAGTTAGATATGCCTATCAGTTGGGGCTTAGGCCTATCATTGGTCAAATAATGAAGCCGTAGCAAGGAGACAGGAAGATTAGTGATTAACGTTTATCAGGGTCACTTGAGGTTTTTTAAACTGCATTGGTTAACAAAATTTTTATATCAAGCAAGTAATACGCGCTATTGGATAGTTTTATGTCCACTAATAGTATTCTCCTTTTGGTATACATTATCCCATGAAAACGAGTAATCACAAAAGTATATTCTATGTATCATGTTTAGGAGAAAGACTTGGCATCATATTCGTTCCACTCAAGAAATTTAACTATCCTTAAGATATCTGACATAGTGTACAGTTGCTGCATCTTTTTCAACTATGGTGTAGGCATGGCACGATCACTGAAGACAGAAAAACAAGTCAAAGTAAAACCTGACACTGGTGTATTGACTCAACTCACTACACCTTATAGCAGCTTGCAGGAAAATAGCGGGCAGAATAGACAAAGTATATGATGAACAAGAACAAACAGATGACGATTTTGAAGGTGACACGAAGTAAATACCTCTGTGCCATTATGACAAATATAGAGCCATGTCATCAAGCGTCTCTAACCATTGATTCATGTCACATCGAAGGTCCCAGGTAAGTAGTTTAAGCGTCTGCAGATGACTCAGGTAATTAGTCAGAAACTTCTTGGACTTGTACCACGTCTTGACCTTCTTCCAACTTTATCTCACATTTTGTAAGTAAAAATCACGGATTTAGTATCTCCATTGGCATCGGCACCAGTCACAGTTAAACGGTTACATGTTTAAGGCTTTTTTCAAAAGGCATTACCGCATATCACGGACACTGATTATTTGCTTCGGGAAATAGCTTGGATCATTAGTTAGAAGGATGACCAGTCACTAAGAGTAATTGAAACGGAAAAGTTGGCTGTTTAGCGTGGATGTCGTAGTCACTACCTTGATTTCATAGGCTTCATATTGCAGCAATTTCCGTACATTCACCAATTTTCTGGAAGTTTTATGCGGTTTCAGTGGAGCGAAATTCAGTTTGGCAAATTGTTACTTGAAAACATTGATGCGAGTACAATAGCAAGTGTGGGCTTTTTGTGCAAAGCAGCAGAACTTAACAGTTTGCCACCTGAAATTTTCAAGGATGGAGGTAGGAAATTGCTGATTACATTGACGGAGGTACTGTTTAGTGTTTGAGTATCAGAAGTGTTGCTGTCAGTCTGTTATACTTCACTGTTCATTCCAGTTTATAAGAAGGGACATATGTTTTACTGTGACAACCACTGACTAATATTGTGTTCAAGATCCCAGAGACCATAGTTACCCAACACCTAAGTGGAGCTCGAGAAAACCAGTGAGGTTTCAGACCTGGACTAGAGTGCATCAATCATATTTTACCATCCGACAGGTTCTGGAACACAGGCAAACCTGCCGATGGCTGACGCCCCATATTTCTTGATCTGAAGGCGGTATTTAACTCTGTCGACCGTGTGGTGTTATGGGAGTGTCTGACTGTGAAAGGAGTAGCTAGCAAGTATATAATGCTCATTAAAGATCTCCACTCGAGCCTACGTGGCAGTGTGTGAGGTGTTATGGAGAGTTGTCATCAGAATTGCCGACAACTAATGATGTCCGGTAGAGATGCCCAGTATCACCATTCCTATTTAACTTCATCATTGATGTACTTACTGATATAGCCTTGATTACATTTGACTTGACTTGACCTAGTGACTGGAGGTTGTCTGGTGGTCTTGGAGAATGCAGACGATATTGTCCTGCTAAGTGAAGATGCTAACAGAATGTAGGGTGTTTTGGACGCATTGAGCAGAAATCTGAGTATGTTTGGCATGCGTCTCGTATCTGTCAGATGTGAGGTGAGGCTTGACGACTGGTATGCAACGACTCCAAGTTTAAGAATCGAGAGTGAAGTAGTGGAATGTATCGGCCACTTTATTGTTCTGAGGAGTTTCATCAACTCGAACAAGCTGGTTGCTGAAGAAATCTCAGCTTGTATACAGAAGGCGCATTCAGTACTTGTCAACTTGCGTGATCTGTGGTGGTGGAGAGATATCCGACTATGTATCATAGGACGATTACACTGCGCTGCAGTCCATTGTATCTTGTTATACGACTGTGGGACATGGTCGTTAAAAGTAGAGAATATGAAGGAGTTACAGGCTTTGATCACAGATGTCTTCGTAGCATTGCTTACATTTGGTGGAATCCACATGTGAGCAGTACTGAGGCTAGGCGCGAAGCAAGGTAAGGAAAGCAAGTCCACGGATGGTGGGGTTGTCAACGTTAGTCGACTGAGGTGACACACATTATCCTCATCTTAATCGCTAAACTTAATCTCATCATTTTCTCATTCCTCTCTTTTACTACTTTCTACTTCTTTTGACCAATTACTTTTTCTTCTTCGTCTTCCATTTTATTGTCCTGTTACTTGTGCCGGAACTTGGACGGTTACGCAGTAATGCTTGGTCCTATATTGATCTTGATTGTAATGATGTTGAGATGACTTGGACATGTGTTGCATATGCTGAGCCACCGCCTACCTCGATATGCCATGCTAGGGGAAGTTGGATTCGGTTGGAAGGGGATTCAGAGTGGCCAGACTAAGACGTGGCACCAATCCATAAAGTCTTTTACTTTTGGTCTGAGCCGCGTGAGGAGGTATGAAGTGCTTGGTTGGGGTCTACGAGATGGTAGGAATCAGTGTTTGAGGAATCTTCGTGACATGGTTGAGAATCGGCCACATTGGAGCAGACGTGTTCACTTCTAGAGATCTTCTGAAGCTTGAATGTTTGCACTAACCTTCATCTCCAAACAGTTTATTCTCCCACATGACTTCATCTTCTTTGATATCACTCTTTTTCTATCCAACTGTTCTTTGTATTCTACTGTGAAGTGTGACAGGTTCAACCGATGTAGTTGTGTGCGAGGTTGTACGTTGATTTTGTCTGTCGTACGTTTAAAGCTTCAGTGGAATAAAAACTCGATTGCATGAAACTTATGTAAAATCTCTTGGATCCTCTGGCTTGGAGACGAATAATAATATTGTTCGTTATCTCACTGATCGAGATTGGCATTTACTGTTCATGTACGAAACTTAGGGGTGATATTAGTTGACAGTCATTCTGCTTTCACTCCTACGTATTAATGTTGAAAGTTGAACAAATGATTTGTTATTCGGTCTGAATTTTAGATCGATGTAAGTGAACATAAATACAACTCACTGTGTTCATTATACATACATAGTATACGGTTTGTTTTATTATTCTCTTTTTACCTCAAGTCACTAGGAGAGTTACATCAATCCATATTTAACCTTAGCCATGAACAGTAATCTTATGCATGTTGTTTTCAGATTTCTGTCCAAGAGTTATGTGTGTCAAATTATTTCATTTTTACACTCAATGTGTCAGAAAAATGTCTGTTTTGTCACCTTTGTATAAACTGCTTTAACCTATTTCAAAGAAGGTTAGTTTATCACTGGTTTAATCAACCCACAGCATACACTTATTCTGGGGTGCAGGTGAAAACTGACAGACAAATGAACGCAAAACCTGATATGTTTCCATCACTTCAAGTGTCCATAATTCACAGTAGCATGTGGAGAATACTTGAATAGAGAAAGATTAAATGTTAAGATGAATCAAAGGTATATGAGTGGAGAAATAAATAAATGGTTATTGAAAATGTCAGAGAATAAATGCATCTACGCCGATGTATTCGATTTTCAGTTACTTCACCAAGATTCTCCAACCGTTGATTTCTGTCATCTCGATAACTCCAGCTAGGGAATTTTAACTTCTGTACATGGTTCAGACAAACTGTCAAAGACTTGTTCTGGTCACAATTAGCCTTGTTCCAACACAACCTGTTTCATGATAGCTCTTGGTGTTCTTCATACGAATACTTATAGAGGTAGATAGAAGTAGTGCCTGAACACGAATTAATGAATTTGCAGTCATGTATTGAATCGTTAATCCAAGGCTTCAACCGTTTGGCTACAGGTGTAAATGTTTCCCCTAGCTACTCAAATAGGTGCTGACGAGTGGTGTTACTAGCTGTTACACTGCATATCAAAACGTCACAGCACTATTAATTAAGATAAATGTGGACCGTCATCTTTTGTCTTTTATTTTGTGGTTAAAATATAGTATCACCATTATGATTTTTCGCTTTTGTATGTATTCGTAAAATGCTCATCTTTTATTGTAAATATTTCAAGCGTATATTTAGTCACATTCAGTTTGATTAACTAAAGTCCATTGTCAGATATACACATGTATTGCTTCTAATTAAAGTATTTCTATGTCGGCAGTTTGTAACATGTTTTCAAAAACTGTATCTTATAAACTATAGCTCTAACATCTTTGTATTTTTTTCCTTAGGATAATTTTGACTATGAAACTATGGATGATCTTGTTAATGGGGTGCTAACAAATGAAGAAATTATGGAGTATACCATTTACATTGAACCTCTACCGAAGGGGCCTGTTGTACTACAGGCTGCTCCCGATCTTTGTAGTTTGATAGATCTAAACTTTCGACTTCTGTCCCGACAAGGTGGATTTTGTTTCTCATTGCCGCCTTTGTATACTAAACCAGCATCTCCAGATTCTGAAATTATAGCAGTTGGCCCACAAGTTTTTGTAGCTGCATCAGCAAAAGTTCACCATAAAGCCCGACTAATTGGGGCTTGTTTTATTGGACCTAAATGTCAAGTTTCGGCGTATGCTTGTCTGATTGATTGTGTTTTTGGAGATAATTGTTTCATAGGTGAGAATGCATGTTTACGTCGTGTCGTTGCTATGGACAATGTGAATATTTCTGACCACGTGAAGGCAGATGTAGCTTGGTTATGTTCTAACGTCCGTGTATTATCTGGATTCAGACTGTCCAATCGTTGTTTCGTAGGTCCATCATCAACAACACCTGTGACTTTGGGTCCGGGATCTGGAAACTTACCGAATGACAGCATCTTGGTTGCTCCTCGCGCAGGTGACTTAGTTTTGGATCCTTCAATTGGTGGTGAGAAAAACTGGGCTGCCTTTTATAAAAAAAGGCAACTCTCAGGAAAGGTAAGTGACAATCCCTCAACCTTTCATATCAAAACTTGTTCTATACACAGATGGGATTACCAGCTAATATTAATCTACACTGGAACTCGTAAATTCATGTTGTAATGTATTAAAACAATATCCTAAACCCAGGGGACTTGGTAGACTCAGTCAGTGTAGCATAATTGCATACGAGATGAGTGTTAGTCATTGTAGTATTTTCAGTGATAATCACTAAACGATGCAACGATTAGTCATCAGAATGCCAAGTATTTTTCTCAATAGTTAGTAACAACTCTGTTAAACATATATACGTAGATCTTAAATTTACAGCAAAACGTCTAATAATACCAAGGATTTCCAACCATTGGTTCCTATTATCTTCAGACCTCTGGTTGGATCTCGGGCCCATCTACTTTGGCCAAGTCAACCGAGTAGTATCATAAGCCGTTATACAACAAGTGTGGCTCATAGTCTAGTACATATATTCACACTGGGTTAATTTATATCTCTTTACATTCACTCGAGGACAACAACCAGGCATTCTGAACCTCCATACGTGACGCAAACCGACAGTCAAAGACTTCATCGACTAGTAACACTTCTTTGTCTGGTCACCATCGTCTTCCAACTCAATTCTTTCCTGCTGACGTCGCACATAGAGGTAGGTGGTGGCTTGATATCTGCAACACATATCCAAGCTATCTCACTTGGTTCACAAGAAAGAAAATGCACTCTGCAACTAAGTGCACCATCTTACAGTAGGTAAATAACTTAAATCTATTGTTTCAGGGCCAATTATGCTACCTGACTGCTTAGATATGGTAGGCAAAGCTGGGTTCAAAACAGTTGCCCTCTGGTTGAAAATAGAGTTCACAGACCAATGAGCCGCGGCTCTGAAACTTATCAACTGACCTATCTTCCTGCGTCCAAACTTGACATTGCTCACACAGTGATTCCACCAGACGTTCATGAAGCTACGAAAACATCTGTCATAAGACAATAGTTACCTTTCCATACTTTATCAATTATATTTTCTGGCTGGAACATATGTTCGTTGTGAGATTGTCACAATGGTGTGGTGAGGCCAAATGAGTAGAATTTAAGCTTATCTATTTTTGCCGTATTAATCTTGGCCAAATTATCACGGGGTTTCTTCGTTTTGGCTTGAAGGGGATTTTTTTTCGTAAAAATCCTAATGGTACTCTGGTGGTGTGACCTTTCAATTTACTTAGATCGTCCTATGCTAGAGCATATTTGTTTAACACATTTGAAAATAGCATAGTGACAGCGAATGGAAAAAGTTAACAACAGGGGAATACAAATAATATCGTGGTATATATATATATATATATATATATATATATAGAGAGAGAGAGAGAGAGAGAGAGAGATAGCCGAAAAAATGTTAGTGATCACACGTTAAGATTGCTTTTAAGTCAACTTTCCAGATATTGTGCAGTGATAAATAAGTTCTGGTTGCTTTATACCAGTCGTACAAACTAGTCCTCGAAATGCCCAATTATGATCTAGTTTACTGCATAGCAGACCAATTTATCTTACTGTGAAATGTGATCATTTAACATGGAAGATTTAGGAAAGCTGTAAGTGATCGTAGCACTGTTTGTATGTGGCGAAATCACTATATGAGCAGAGTCTAGGCTAAGTGTCAATGAGATAAAGGAAGAAGGTCAGTAGATGAGGCTGAAAACTTTCAGTAACTTAGGCGACTGGGACATGAATTATGCATGCTGACCCATTGTCTTCCTTAACTTATCACTATCTGGAACGAGATTATGATTGAGGGCAACCAAACCAGGATGTGGTATCGATCCTTGAAGTGTCCTACCAGTGACCTATGGAGCTGTGGGTCACGGGTTCGAACCCCGTTCCACCTACCGAAGTTTGGGCAGTCAGGTTGTATCACTAGCCCTCACACAATAGGTCTGGCTCGTCACCTACTACACGAATGTACACAAGGTTACTGAGTGTGTTTCGTTTGGTTCTTCCTACTATTAACCCGAATCATCGAAAAAGATTGGGTTCTACTATGTAACCGAGATCGATCGTTGAAAAGTTTCAAAAATATGACTTGAAATAAATCTCATTGGTGATAGATACATCCATGCCCTACTCTTCTAATAATCTCAGTATCATCATCACTATTGTTTTTGCCGTAAGAATTTCAATAACGTTTCTATTTATTTGTGTTTCCTCTCTCTAACTTTCACCGTAATGTACTGGTGTAAGTTGTGGTAACTTGAACTGATAATCAGTTGTATCAAGTCATTTTTTTAAAATACTCACTGTATGCCTAACTTTTGGATAAAGCCTTCCACGCATTTGGTTAATTTCAACTATTGATTATGAGCCCCTGGGGTCTCTGGTTCGAATGCGGCCGTGGTCCAGATTTTCACCTCACCTTCAATCATCACCCAGTACAAATCATTTAACTACATTATCCTTTTACCGATAGAACAGGTTACTGAGAGAGGACAGAAAGATCATCATGACGATTTTCAGGCAATTGCCTTTGTTCATGTCGGTACAATCCACAACACTATTAAAAGAGAAGACAGAAAAAAATCGAAACTTCTATGATAGTTTGAAAAATATATGAAATATACCCATCGGGATATGAGAGAAGAGCAAGTATTTCAGCGATTTCATTTTCAAAGCTGTACAATCGCAAATTTATGCATTTTTATAGTGTTAGGATTTGATGGTTAAAAACAGTTTGTCAAGCATGGCACCACAAACACTGTCAATAAATGAGCTGTCATTAAAATAAAGAAAGCCAAAAGCTGATGAATAGCGAATATTAATCATAATAGGTTTAGACAAGAAGTTTCATAGCATGACGACTTAATTGGAAAGTGAATTGTGATCAGGCAGAGCTTAGCAACGAGAGTGAATTGCAAATTACTTAAGAAGTGAATAGTGTCAAAATAGAAAAACAAAAAGAAAAAACGAGAAGGGGGGGGGTAGAGGAGACTGAAAACCAAGATGATGAAAGGAAAAGGTGTTGAACAGTCTTCTTTTATGTACATAGTTCAGGTTTCTTCACATGGATGCCAAGAGCTTCGGCAATGCAGAGAATACGAAGACATTCAGCCTTTGGGAGGTCTTTTTTTTACTTTATAGATGACTTTGAACGTGGAGGTTCTTCAGATAGGGTGATTCGTGTTCACGATGTGTTCAATCATAGCACTTCTTTATCTCTCCATTGTTAGCTCTTTGTGACCACGCGGGATAATGTTCTTGAACGCTTTTGGATAACAGTCGCATCAAACTATTTATATACCTGGCTCCAAAAGAGCAGGTGAATTGGTTATGCACAAAGAAGTGGTTAGATGCGAAAGTTTCTCCTTTGAGTTGTTAGAAATCGTTGAGGTAGAACAGAATACTAGTCTCAGCGTTGATGCAAAGAATGTTCTTAGAACATTTGACATCCTCCTTTTTATAATGTCAGCGGCAGGATCACCTTTGAAGTTTAGATTCATGTCGAGTGTCTTTTTTGGCATGGTGGTAAGGTTCTCTTTGGATTTCACAATGGATTTAATATTTTGAAAAAAAAATCCCTCCTTCATATTAATGAAGTTTCAGTACTTAATCCTTTTTCTTTCAAGTACATGCTGATCCTATATTTTACTTCTGATTTTGTCAAGAATTAAATCGTATAAAAGCTCTTAACGACTTCTGTTCATTTACAGTCTATTGAAAAAGCGTATATTTTATTCCCTCTTCTTACTAGATCCAACAAGGATGCAGCTGTTGCGAATTCACCAGCACGGATTGTACCACAACTATCTCACAAGGAATTAATTATCAAAAATTAATAGATTATTTAGTCGATCATACTAGTATTACTGTGTTTTGGATTTAAGTACCTTAATGTAGAAAAAGAATACTGTGGAGAAAAGCTGTTGAATGTGAAGTTCGGAGGAAGTTTAGGAAGAAACAAGTTTCCGTAATCATCGAAATGTAAGCTCATAACAGTGTATTTATCCCTAGTTTGATTCATAGAAGGAGGATTTCTTGTCATGTGTACGCTATCCTTAGTCTGTCTTTAATGATCCACTAATTGTTGAAGTGAAATAAAAATCTGGCCAACAGTTGGACCCAATAGCTAGGTTGGTAGAGCATTGGGCCGGGAACCCGCTGTTCGCTGGTTCGAATCTGGCCGCTGTCCAAATTTTTCATCTCACCTTCAATCATCACCCAGTATAAATACATGTCTACCAAATCATGGTTATCTCAGATAGTCAAAATGTTAATTATTTATTTCGTAAATAAGTACTCTAGATATCTTGAATTTTTTTATTCGTTTCTTTTGTTGAATATTTCATACTAGAGTGATTCTATGGAAAATCTTTCTGAAGAGGATACAGAATCTAATCGATTATATTTATCATCTAATAATGAACTTACAAATTGTCGTTTATGGGAAACAGCTTGGGATCGAATTAAACTTGCAGCTAAAACACGACGACAAAAAATGAATCAAAGATATAGTCATAGTCGAACTAGTGAAATTCGTTCAAGCAGATCTAGTCGACCTCGTCTATTAGCAAGTGAGATAGTTGATAGTGATGGAGACACAGAGTATCAATTGAAAGATACATCAAAAATTGATAGTGATGTTGATGATGAACAGTCGGAAAAATTTATAATTACTGAGTTCAAAAGAACTTTGGAGCGTGGTGAACGACATGCTTATCCTGCTGAAACAATGATACTTGAAGTTAATTCTTTAAAACATGCTTATAATGTATCAATAGAAGATTTTGGTTTTTTACTTACAAAAGCCTTGTTGGATTTAACCCGTGATCACCTTTCTCCTGAATCACAAAATGACTCCAGTAAAACTAGTGTTGTAGAATTCATTGGTTATCTTCGTAAATTTTTGTCAAAATTTAATAGTGTCCTATCGTCGTGTATGTCAGGACTTCAAAACACTGGTCGAATATACCTTCAAGCAGTTGAAGATGCAGCATGCTATGATCCCTTACTATTTGCTTCCTCTATGTCTATTATTCATACTTTGTATGATAATGATTTAGTTCTAGAAGATGATATTTGGTGGTGGAAAAATAATTCACCCCTTTTAATGGATGATGATATTTCAGAGAAAACTAAGTCACTTAGAGAAAAGATTAAACCATTTTTAGACTGGTTGGAACAAGCTGAAGAAGAGGATGATGACTGATAGTGATAGTATGCACCATAGTGTTTCAACAGTGTACACTATAATTACTTCCTTTGTTATATTTTTACTGTATGTAGTGCAACTGCAAAATAAAGCAAGTGTAATGGGGATTTTGCTTATTTTATACCCTAGTGATTTACAGGTATTTTAGTTATTTATGTCGATTTCAGTTTACTACTATGAGATGACCTCATGCAGTTAACAATAAATCATTAGCCGCAAGTACATGCCTATGATTTTTATAGGCTTTCTGTTAGCTGATGTATATCTGGAAGGTCATATATAGTTTAGATTTTAAGGAGCCCTGGCTCCTAGAATATCTTTTTCTAGATTTGTGCTACAACCTTGAATATTAATGAATAGTTTAGAACGATGGGTAACAGAAAGCTCCAGTAATTGACGACGTTTGCCAATTATAAGAAGTAGTCGGTCAGGTAGGCTTATAAGGACTGTTGTTCAGACAGCGATGTTAGTGACCTCACTTTGGTCAACAGTTGAACCATCATACCGTGGCTGCTATATTACGTCCTCTAACTACAGGTCAAGTGCGACTGTGTCTCCAACCCACCAACCTTTAACAGAATTGGGAATTGTTTACAAATTTTGATTTATAACGAAGCAGTAAACCAGTACGGATCTCCACTTATCTGTTTAATAGTAGACTTTTGGCTAAATTATTGTTATAACTGAAGTTTTCATGGGTGTTGATTTACTGTCCACGTTAACTATCCACTTGGCTGCATGATCGGGACTGGATACTTTACTCATGACTTTGATACAACTGACTCATTCTGATCAGTCAGTCAATGACTATCTCATAACCCAACCTAAGGAGTATCAAAAGACTGAATTCCTAACCCCTATAACTGTACATTTTATGCAATGAAACTTAGTTTTAAGTAGCGAAACAATAATAAAATCAGTCATACGTATACAAAAATATGATTGGGATAAAAATCATTACACTTTTCAAATAACCGGGGTTCAAAGGTAATATGGAAGTTTACAATCACCTTGTAAGTTTCTACCAATAAATGTAAGGCTGCACTTCGATCCTTACAGGATTTATTCCACAGAGGTTACCAATCACATTTTTTGTCGTACGAACTGTAGTCTTTGTTAATGTTTCTTGTTGAAAGCTAAGATATTGGGTTATCCACTTCCATTTATACTTAGTAAGTTCGTTAGATATATATTAGATGGAGACAATTTAGGATGGGCAGAAAATACGTTACCTACGTCTTCCCTCAGCACTGTTCCCTGGAACGTTAATGTACTTTCTTCGGTATAACGTCTTTTGAGATGATGAAGAATATATGTAGCTTCTTTCTGAAGTTTGTGCTTATTAATAATGTTGAGTGAGAGAAGACTAGAACCGAATCGACAGTATCTATTCGGTATAACAAAGACTTTGACATATGCATTGGAAATAGTTTGTACTCTAAATGTCATCCAGTTTTAATATTGTATCATTGTATAGTATATGAAAAAAACATTTAATATAGAATTGTATTCTCACACTGCTCAAGTTTTACTGTGGTGTGAGTTTAGAGTGGCCGAAAGAAAGCTTGATAACAATAAAGACATATTAATGTGTCACATTCTAAAGATAGTTTGTTCTAAGATACATTTTACATATTCATAACTGCATCTGTCGAGTAGTTTTTATCAAAAAGTTCACCGTGTAGTTATATCCACTGTTAATCCCTGTACACAATAGAATAGGTAAGTTTTCATAAACTGAAGCAGTGGTTTAGAATGTGGAGCTGTGACTTATTGTCCTAGGCACTCGATTCCCAGTTGACAGGTCATGCGTTCGAATGTCGCTCCACCTACCGAGGGTTGAGCGGCTAGGTGGGTATTATTAGTTCCTGACACACTAGGTGTGGCTCCTAGACTACGTGTACGTGTTTGCTGTGTACATTTCCATTTTCGAGTAATATAAATTATTTCTTAACTTATTAAATCAAAGGTATATGTGTAGTGTAACATAAGTATCTAACTGTTATACGACGTTGGATCCTAGACCATTGAAATGTCGACTATGTCATCAGTTTCACAGATTACTCACTGTTATGTCCATGAGAGATACCTAAGCCTCTGTTGCTTTCAAAGGCTGAGACAATTTTGGATGCTAAGATTTCTGTTAAAAATACTCATAGTTTGCTATTACATTAAAGCATATTATAGAGAATTCAGGTATAAGGGTCGTGAGACTTAGTTCAGTATACTGGTGGGTGATTTAGCACCAAAAGAATGTGGTGGTATTGTAGTTATCAGCATCTGGTTAGTAGCTGTATTTGCCAAAAAGAACGACTCTTAACATTGGGTATTGCCATTGTTTACTTAAGTACGAGCAGTCCGATATGTGTACCATGGGGTGCCCATCATGAGTGTATAGAAAGGATGAAAGATAAGGGATAACAATGATCAGAAACAGAAAAATAGTCACATTGTTTGTATTGAATGAAAATTATTCTATCTTCAGATCACTGTCAAAGGACGAAAAACTAGGAAATACGTTATGATCGGTACTTATTTGGGTTCCAAATCATATCACTTGATGTCTCCGAGTCTTACAACCTCTTAGATCCACCCAAGGAATTATGAAGATCAACGAATGTTTACCTAATTTCACTCACCTCAATCGGAGTAATCGACTGAAAACTAGCCTTTAACGCATAGTGTTCAGCCTGAAGGACACTGGAAAGGGATGTACAAAACGTTCACAAGTCATTAAAACTGATGTTAGGTAATCATTCTCACCATTTTGAAACAAATTAAGATCTAGACCTTACTCACATGTTATACTATATGGAGGAAGTCGTTTGGAGGCAATAATGGTAGAAAGCAGAGTCACCGGATATCCTCAGTTCAGAGAAGACATGTAGATTAGGTTTGTCTGCACTGAAACTTTGTACATACGACACTTTACAGTCAGACTAATACCAAGACGGCACCAAAGGTGACCTAAATTGTTCTTTACTACTCCAGCTTTCGAGATTTTCTTGTAGTTCCATTCATTACCCTCTTCAGCCTATGGTTATCTAGACGCATGGAATATTTGACTATTTTCAGCGGTGCCTGAAGGTGCAGACTTCTGAAAATCTTATGAAGCAACTTCTTGATTCGATTATGCGAAGTGTATACCGTACTCACAGAAACTAATCACTCACTGATTAGGTAAGGTTTGCATAATCAATATTTTGTCGCACAGTAGAGTATTGCTGTCCAGATACTCAATGTTGGCAGGTTTTTATCCATGTAAGATGTTTACACTAGTATGGTACACCTCACTCAGAGCTGTCACTGACCAAGTTGAAAAGAAGTAGTGAAATTGGCTTACCTCACCCATGTTGTGCATTTTGAATATCAAAAAGAGATGATTGTAGACTTCCTCTGTTCATAAAGTAGTCGTATGAGTACTATTTAGATGCTTATAATCCCCTCAAGTATACATCTTTGCAAAATACTTCTGGGTCATACTTATCTCTCTGACATATGTTGGTGTTCATGTATCCCTTGGAGAGAAGAAATTTGATACAGTTTCAACTTGCTTCGGACAAATTAACAAAAGACATTTCAGCAAAAAAATTTCTTTGCGACGAATCATTTTCAAAGCTGTAATTTCGTTATTATAGCTACAACAAAATATATACCAATCACTATCTAATGGGTCAATATAAAGTCCCCAAAGACGGTCAATAAAGTCACAAGTTTGTAACGACCACGTCACCAAAACAGTAAACAAAAAATGGATAAAATGTCTTGGGGAGATTACGACCAAGGCAAAATTGGAGATTGAATGTATCTTTTTTGAACACAAAGATGAGACTTGTGCTGCTAAAATTGCCAAAGCCTCTGCTGTGTTGAGGTGACGAATAAGTACTCCCTTCGAAATGTTTGATTTCACTTGGTAAATGACTTTGAAAGAAGACTCTCGTGGAGCACAATGACCAGAGATAACCAAATGCTCAAGAATTAAGCTATTGATTGGGCTACACTATCCTTTAGACAGACATGCAGGATAGTGTTTGGAGATGCGTTTGGATAGAACACGCTTTGTATACCCAGGTTCACAAGAGCAGGTGAATCGGTAAATATACATGGAGTTGGCCGAAAGTCGTAGTGTATTCTCTACACACACTCGAATCATTTGTTGACTCGAGATAACAATCCGAAACTGGACAGGAAAGAAGTTCTCTTTAAGAACTTTTTTTGGTGCGTATTATTGTCTGAATTATTACAGTAGGTGGCTGGTAGCACATTAAGACCACCTATTTTTTCACTGATCGTTTTCTCAAATAGACTGTGGAACGGTCTCATAATGGAGTTCTAGAACACTCAGTCTACCCATACATTCTTGAACAACCTAAATATTTCTTTTACTAGTTTCAACTGGGGTAATTTTTGCCGAATACTTCTCACCACTCTCGTATTTAAGATTATTTCTTCACTTCCAGTACTTAAGTTTATCGACGTCAACTGATCGCTAGACAAAACGTCAAGGTCGGTTTTTGGAGCTGTACACCAGGTAAATTGCTTTTCGAAGTCATGAGCTTAGTCTTCCAAATGTCTTTGCAGACTGTTCACCAACAAATCATCTAAATCATGGATTATGTTGCTGAATTCAGGCTTTTTGATCCTGTTGGTTTGGACGAGGACAGCTAACAAGTTGTGCTAGATACTGCTAACACTTTATCTTTGTTACAAATTGAGACCATTAGAATTCACTATCCTCACAAAAGCGTTGTATAATTTTTCGCTTGAGGATATCATACACTGTTGTACTGATTATCCGTTGGAATACACTAAGGAGTATCAAGAAGTTTGTAATAGACGATCGTATTATAGTTAGTAATCGTGGAATTGAACTATTCCACCAAAGAGAGGGAAACTAAAAGTTCGTAATCAGCAGGACTTGTATATTTAAAAAAGCAGTAAATAACAAGTAAAATGAACATTTATTCTATACAGCAATTGAAATATTCATTCACCACAAAGTTGTTATGACTTAGACATCTAGGTGTAACTAGTACTCTTCCACGCTTACTGTGGGACCAGTAACTAACCTTGAGTTTAGCCTTGTCTAATGTTTATTAGCTATACTACCTGCTGCCAGTTCTTTTATGGTAATCTATTTAGAATGTTGGTTTTATTGATCATCAGATTACGAGATGAGCTTACCATATTCAGAGCTGAAATGTTATTGCAGACAGAAAGACAGCTGATTGGTTAATGCAAATCATGGAAT